CCCTTTAGGCCCTGCAAGGGGCTCTCAGCTCTCCCTGGATCCTTCTCTTCTCCAGGTGAACCCCCCCAGCTCTCCCAGCCTGGCTCCAGAGCAGAGGGGCTCCAGCCCTCAGAGCCCTCTGGACTCTCTGTAGGGGACAGCAGAGACCCCATCCTCACATCCAGCCCTTCCCAGCCCTCTCAGACCGTTCACCCCCGCCCCAGTCCCGCTGTGGGGCACACGGGGAGGCCAAGTGCAGCCACCCACGAGGTCGCCCCCGCTCCCACCGCTCCCCCCCGGGCTCCCAGAACTCCCCCGTTCCCGGGGGTCCCTCACGCCTTCTTGATGTCGTCGGCGGTGGCCCCGCGGTCCAGCTCCAACAAGGCGTAGTAATCCACGCCCATGGCGTCCCGTTGCTATGGCGAACGCGGCACTTCCTGTTCGCGCCGCGCGGGGCATCACGGGAGTTGTAGTTCTTCCGTCACTTCCGCACTCTGACCCCCCCATCCCTCCCCTCCTCTCTTTTTTCCTATAAACCTCCCAAATTTCCTCGTGAAATTCCTTTCCCACACCGGTGTTATCAAAGCAGCCGCTTTATTTCACTCCATACTGTGACACAGTCACTTTCAGCACCCCCCCACCTCCCATTTATTTATTTTCCCCCCCTACAAACAGCAAAAAAAAACCCCAAAACAACTCCATTGCAACACAACATCATCTCTACATTAAAATTTGATCCCAGTTGTGTTGAAGGCAGAAATATGATCAGCCACCAAAACACTCTGTCACCACAAGAGCCTCAAATTGTGCATACGCATCCCAGGAAAATCAGCTTGGAAGAGCCATCTTGACACATTTCCTCACTATTTGGTCCCTTCAAACACTTAAAGGTCAGAAAGCTGGTATCTCCTCACTATCCCATCTCTGCAGCACGTGTAAATCTCCTTCTCCCAAGAAGCCACCTGGGGAAGAGGGGAAAAAAAAGCAGTTTTTACACAGGAAGTGACACTTCCACATAAAATCCTACTTTTTCCCTCAGGATCTTTCCAGAATCCTTAATCCACACTTTTTATAGAAACACAGCCCTGCCAGAGCCATTTTAACTCCACAGTTCTGCTCCTGCACGACGGAGATGAAGCCAGGGAATACCACAGAGGATTTGTTTATGCAAAACACTGGGAATATTCAGGAGGAAAATCTAAAGATAAGCTCAAAAAGTCAACTGTGTGAAGGAACTTGCTGAGGGAAAAGGCAGCTTTCCCTCTTCCAGGTTCTCCTCAGGGACACTCCGTACTCCTTACCTTGTACACGGGGTCGCAGTCAGCCTCAGTGAGATCCAGGACATAATCCAGGTCTTGCTGGAGGATGAAGCAGGTGCCATCCCCTGGAAGGGAGGGACATCAGCCAATTAGGGAGATGAGCAGTTAATTGCAGACAGAAATTCCAGCGGGAAAAGGCTCCAATGGGTGAGATGCACCTTGGAGGCCCCGTTTTGGAGGGACACAAGGCAAAGGGGCAAGAGGACAATTCCCAAAGAGCACAGAGTTCCTTGGTTCCACTACAGGATTTCTCCCAGAACAGCACTGGAATTACCTTGGCTGGCAATGAATCCATCTTGGTATGGGAGCAGAGAAAGCACCGGTGCTCCTGACCTGTGGATGACCTGGATTGGAGCGCTGGAAAAAAGAGCAGAAACGAGGGATGAGGATTATTTCCCAGAGAGGCTGTCGCCGAGAGAAGTGTCCAAGGCCGGGTTGGACAGGGCTTGGAGCAACCTGGGATAGTGAGAGGTGTCCCTGCCCATGGCAGAGGGGTGGAATGGGATGAGCCTTAAGGTCCCTTCCAACCCAAACCATTCCATGATTCTCTTCAGGGAACACCAATAAAACTCCACAGCTCAGTTCCAGTCCTACACTGG